GATACGGGCCAAAACACCTTTCATTTCAGCAAAATTTAAATCCGTACATGCAGACAATGATAGTTGGCGTTGGTTCTCGTTTATTCTTGCTCTTTCCAATAGCCTTAAAGCTAGGACTGGTTCAGGCAAATCCATGTTTAAAGTCTTCACTTTTGCATATGCTGAGTCAAACTCAATAATATAATCATTTATGCTGCCAGTCTTCCTCTCTATGTTTTCAAAACTCAAATATGCATCATACGTACGAGTTTTCACCTCTTTCTGAAAGATGCTGTCTAACTTATCCGTTAGGATTTTCAGCCCACCGTCTACATTCAGCTCCTCTATACTGAGCTCCTCACTCGCCTGCTTGTACTTTCCGTCCAGCATCAAGCACACCGCCAGGGCCTGTCTGTTCTTCGCCATTTTCGTGACTCGACTCCATAGCTCTAAATCTCTCTTCCAACTATCGTAATTGTTATTTTGGAGTTTCGGAGGATTGTGGAAATTTTCCAACCTCGCTCTGCTACCATTGACAGATAATAAATAGAGATCATATGAATAACTGTTGCACAACTATTTATTTATATTCACTCACCGAGACCATGACCGTCGAGTGCCGGCCCGCCAAAAAAAAGGATCACGTGAACTCTGACCTCGGGTCAGATAAACATAAACATTATCAAAATTAATGGTGTTCATATCTAAACCACACTTCGGATCGTAACCAAAATAAGAAAGCCCTATCCCCTTCTACTCAATGTCAGAAATTATGTGTGAGACATGAACCTACAGGAGGCTGCTAACAAACAGACAAACATACAAACATAAAAAACCTGATGAAAATATACATCGCGTTGTAATTTACTAGTAGTTGCTAAATACCGCTTCAACCGAGGGAGGCGTTGCTTCTTTTAGTGACGTCATACAATATTACTATACACACGCAATACTAGCATAATCATAGTTCTCACACAGCGACGATCAAAGCACCTGAACGTTATTTATTTTAGGAGGCCTACGAGTGTTGCGTCGCACTTTGATAATAATCGTTGCACTTTGTAATAACTGTCGCACTTTGTAATAACTGTCCCACTTTGTAATAACTGAGCTATCACACTATGTAATACTGTCTGACGCAATGTTTTGAAGTAAAAGGAAAATCAAAGTGGACCTCTTTCGGATTTTGAACCCGAGACTTCCGTCACACTGTTCAGAAGTTCTAACCGATGGGGTCCAGTGGGATTCGAAACATATCCCAATCGGTGTAACGATGATATAATACAACAAAAGTTAAAAAAAAAAAATCAAATTTGGCCCCCTCAGGATTTCAACCCGAGACCTACATACTTTTTGGATGCTCTGACCGACTTAGTCAGGGGCCCAGTAGAATTAGAACCATATCCCCATCGTCGGACATAAAATGGTAATCTTAAATACGAGTAATACTAAATTGGGTCCCTTCTGGATTTGAACTCGACACCCTACAATTCCAACTCTAGATCCAGGTTAATGTCTAGTGGGGCTGAGCCATACCATCGACGTAAAGATGATATAATACGAAACAGGGGAAAACTTCAAATTCGATTCCCTCAGGAGAAGATGTTATAAAAAAAATCTATAGAAAAAACGTGGATCACGTTTTATTGCAAAGTGCGACAGCTCAGTTATTACAAAGTGCGACAGACCTTATTACAAAGTGCGACAGTTATTAGGCCTACAAGTGCGACAGAATTTATTATAAATTGTGACAGTTATTACAAAGTGCGACAGTTATCACAAAGTGCGACGATTATTATGAAATGCGACGCAACATACGTGTGATGTTTATGATCGATTTGTGTAGTGCTGCTACGCCTCTGATTTGAAAGATATTGGCCTCATATTTGTAGGTTGTCGAGAAATGATGATAATTATGGCAATGTATTTGCAGTACTATGAATCGGAAAGATTCCTAGAGAGCTGGACCTGACCTAGCCTAGTAATGTAGTACTAAGCACCAGCGGTCGGTCACCCTGTGTGTATCGTATGTTTCTTACCTTGAAGCCTGTTTTCAACTAGCGAATATATTCGCTAGTTTCAAAAGCGTTTGTTCATGCGCGTGCTATTCACATTTTTTTTAAGGGGGGGGGGTTCGCTTCAGCGAAATCGGTAGTTCGAACTTTTTCTACTTTTTGCTTAGCGCAAAAAAGTGCGCGTCCAATCGGAGCTCATGAACCGAATCGATGCCTTCGATTCGTGCGAATAAATGCGCCTAGTGGATAGCCTACTGATGTACTGCGTAGCGGGGGACGGTGAGGCTATTTATTAGTAAGACTAGGCGTAATTAGACAGTGCAGATATATGTTATAGAAAGTACACCTTCGAAAGAAATAAATTGAAATACTAATATAGCAAGGTTTGTGGGCGTAAATTCCATAATACGAATTAAGGGTAGCACCATCCCCTTGCCATACAAATTGCAGCTCCCACTGACGTCTCAGTCAAGAAATACGGGTAGATGAAGTTTTCTCCCAAATCTGACTACAAAATGAAATCCAAATTTCACGTTCCACTTCTAAACTTTGAGTTGTTCTTCACACACGCCGCTGAGGGCGGTGTTCCGGGAACCCTGCGTCTAGATGTAGATAAGAGCTCAAGAACAAGTGGTGGAGAGAAGTGTAATCAGGTAGGATATGCATGAGGGTGATTTGTTTTTTATTGATATGTATGTGAAAAGCAACAATTTAAATGTTAGACGTGTCTTAAAAGGTAACCAGTGCAGGTAACTAAGAGCAGCTGTTATATGCTCAAATCTAGAAACTCCTGACACGAGACGTGCAGCCGTACTCAAGAGAAGCTGCAAATTACTAGATATACCTTTAAGGAAGACCATGGAATATAATATTGCAATATTCTAGCCGAGATGTAATTAATTCATGGACAATCTTGATGGTTGTTTCTTCTGTTGAAAAACCTTCGAATGGTTTTGATGTTGCGTATGTGATAAGACACTGCTTTACCTATGTTGTTAATATGCCTATTCATTGTCATTGAAGAGTAAAATACATCCCAATATTACGAACCTCATCAGATGGAATGATTGTGTTGTCTCCAATGTTGATGTTTTGAGTGATAGGTACATTTCTAAGATGTTTGAGGTGAATGAACAGTACCTCAGTTTTATCAGGATTTAAACAGAGCATTGTATGCTAACCAAAATTGGACATTTCTGACGAAATCTTCAATAGCAACTTAGCCTCATCATATCTATTTCTTCTACAGACGTTATACAATTAGAACATATTATTCAGTTATATAATGATTAAATGACTAAATGATGATGATGATGATAAAATGAAAACCAAGTAGAAAAGGATAGAACATGATTGGGTCGGGACGGAGCTCCTTGGATTAACGTAAATGGCCCTTGGTGTCCTAATTTGGAAAAGCCACTCACTTCTTTTAGTATAATGACTTCATTGTTTACTGTATTTTACTGTGCTGAGCAATTTGCAGTATTAGATGAATTGGAGGACTGTTTGAGCGTATTTATTACGTCACCCTAAAAAGCCACGCCTCCTTCTTTTGAAGTCGCGGTATTTAGCAACTACCGCGTGAATGGACGTTTCTAATTTATTACATACATTAAATACAATGTATACAGTGTTCAAATGAATAATAGCAGAATAAACGTTTATCTTCGATGATATAGGGAATATGATAGGCCTTACCGAACTACGAATACGTGAGATACGAAAGGTAACACGGGAACAGCCATTTAAAGCGCCACCCAGAGCCTTCAACAATTGTCTAAATGACGCAGCACTTATTATACAGTGAAAAAATGAATTATAACACTATTAAGACATCAGCATTTCTTTATAAACGTTTATTTACTATGACGTTGGGCCTGTGATATGCCTGAACTACGGAAATACGTAAGATAGTTAACATGGGAACGGACATGGAAAGCGCCACGCCACTATTTCGCTATAAACCAAAGATCTTATATACACAAGATAGCGTTCTCCGCGATTTACGCGTAACAAATAGAAGCGTCGGTCAAGGTTCAAAAGTTTCCAATTTAGCAAGAGGGCGTCATTCATGCGCTATTATACCAAAGAGAAAAAGTAATCAGTTTTGGAAGAGGGCGTCCTATCTGTTGCCATGGATCTGAGATGGTTCCTGTTAGATGTGTATAAGAGACAGTTATTATTATTATTATTATTATTATTAT